ATATTTTTAGTTGACATTTTTGGATTCTGTGTCCATTTTTACATAAAGGTGGGTAGTTTTGTTGGAATCTGTACAGGACGAAGTTGAAAGTTTGAATTTGTTCCCAATTGTGTCTTGAGAGCTAAATCGGAGATGTTTCAAAATGGCCGCCACGTGGTCTAAACGAACTGATTGATTAATATCTAGTTATTTATAAAAACAGTAAAAAAATAATGCAAGTTTTATTTCTATTAATCATTTAACTGTCTTTAACTTTCATTTGACATCAGTTTTAATAGTTTTAAATAGCTGAAAATAATGTTTTAGCACGTTTTTGACATGGACCATTTGGCTAGGGTATTTTGAGTGTTGAAAATGGACACAGACATTGGTTTGAACATTTTTTAATATACTTTAAAATCACATTAAAGTAGTTTTTAAATTATTTTTGGAATCTTTAGCCATTATAGAATTTTTTAAGCCATAACCTATCATTGGGCATGAAGGACCTTATCTGTTTAAGGCCTTTTTACCTGCTGACCCCCACTCTCCGCTCCCAGATTAACATTTAAAAAATGTCTGCCATATATTTCTGCACTATGATTTTGTGGTGCATTTTTATTGTCTTAGACAGTATAACAAGTACTATTCATGACTGATACTATGTATTAGTATTAAAATTGTAGTTTTTACTTCCTTAGATTTTAGATATGCTTATTTAGAAAGTTGATGATTTATGAAATTAATAATAAAATATAATTTGTTTAACTGCATAAGTTTACTTACTTACAGCTAGGGCTACTTACAACTTATGATTAATAATATTTGATCATTTTTTTATATATACTAATATATACTAGCCAGCAAACAGATCACGTGGGACATAGATACTTTAAAAAAAAATAAAATGTTATTTTTCCTCTTACCTTCCTTATGAAATCCTGCTCCATGAAAACACAACATAAATCCAAAGCGAATCACAAAGGAGCTTATTTAATAATTTTACTCCATGAAAAATATAGCACTGAATCACAAATCAGGCGGTTACCTTAGATTATTTTGAACAAGTAAATAAAATATCGAGCTGTGACTAGTTAAGAAGAAGAGGGGAACACTATAGTGAAATGTCCTCATCATCAATAAAATGAAAGAATAACTCGCAAAGACTGAAAAAAGGATTATGTTAAATCAGTAAGAGGGGCTCTCATTTTCACTTGGTTATAAAACATGGGGGTCTCCGTAGCAAAGTGGTCAAGCCATTAACCTTGCGCTCAGAAGGTTGCGGTACGTTCACTGCGTTGTTCAACTAAAAAATGAATTTTTTTGGTTAGCGGAGACCTCTGAGGGCTGTTGCTGGAGCTACGGTATTCAGGCTTCGTGCTAAGCTCTTAGCATGCTCTAGCCGTTCAGTTATGTGGAGAAAGACCAAGCCATACTAAACCAGTAACGATGCAATGAAGTCGATCCACTTGCTATTAAAAATTTTGTAAACAGTGGAATAAAGCGAATTTCGGTCAGATGTATGCACACACACACACACAAGTGACAGTGCGAGAAAAAGCATTATTTAACAAACAGAAAAAGATGCATCATAGCAGGAAGAATAGTTACAAAAGTATATATATATATATATATATATATATTACAGTATACGTCTTGCAAGACTCACTGAATAATAATAATAAATTCATAAGGTATTTAATTAATACTAATAAATTGACTCATTTTTATGTTATTTAGGTTTGCATTACATCATATTTTTTAAAAGGCAACAACTTTAGTTAGAGCTTGCTGTCCTGAAAGCAATGACATATGGTTGCTAAGGGGTTCAGCCAAAAACTTGAGAGTTATTGACATTAAACATGATAAATTTAGGTCCAGTTTTCACTTGGGAACATGCCGCCATCTTGTTTCTGTGTTTTCCATTATAATTTTTTGGGGGCACTTTCCGTCACTGAAATGTGAATATCTCCGCTTAGAATTGACATACAGACTTCATTTAGGTACCGTTGGACTCGGGTTTTTAACCTCTATTTAGCTGTCTTGGTTTAAAAGTAAAAAACCCAATTTTTAAATTTTGACTAAAATACCTACTGTTTGCATCTTTGATGGGTCCAAAGATTTGTCATAAGACTCTGTTTTCGAAAACCTGTAATAAGGCTTCATCTCTTTTAGTTGTGCTCCAAGTTTCAGAGCCATATAACACTACTGGTCTTATCGACGTTTTATGTATTTTGATCTTGGTGTTGCGAGACAGAAACTTTGACTTTAGCAAATGTTAAAGGGTATAATATACTTTATTTCCAGATTGTATTCTAGGTTCACGTTAGTCTCCCCAAATAGAGTAGGTCACAGTTCATGCACAAGTTTGTTGGGCTGGTTGACTTTCCTGAAGGTTATGGATGTGTCTCGCTCTGTTGTTTGCTTTCTGCTTTGTCTTGCATTTACGTTTTCATTCCGAGAAAGAAAATGTCTGTGACACAGGTTGCGGCACTCTCTGGGAAAAGGGGGGGGGGGGGGGTTGTTAGGCTCAGTTTCTCCATGTTTTTGGAGTGTTAAAAGCCCTGCCGTGCTGAACTGTACAACACATATTAACGGTCCCCCGTGTGGGTTCAGGGGCCCCATTGTGGGGGAAAACAAGAATAGACCCTCTGCCTCCCCAAAAGCATGTCGTAAGAGTCGACTAATTGGGGAGCTTCCCTTGGAGTCGGAGTGCATCTGCCGGAGAGGCAAGGAACCAACAGTCCGTATTCAAGAGAATGAGATCTGTAAAACTGATGCACACGCAACACTAGGTTCTGGAGCAGGACTGCAGTTCAGTAGTGGACGAGCAACCAGAACCTTCCGCCAGAGTTTACAGCTGGTGAACGCGAAGAAGAAGAAGATATTAACGGCATTGCTGAACACCCCCGTAACCTTGTGCCAAGGCCAGGAACTACTAAACAAAAGTTAGCTAGTGTGTAAATGGGCAGGCCATGGGGAGACTAACGTTACTTTTACCGTATTTGCACTACTACATGCGGTAAGATCCATGATTAGGGCAGATATGATCAATCCTATCAGTCACTGTCTTACTAATCTTGTTATATGGCCAAACCATTTGATTGCTTTACGCAATCAAGACATGGAAGCATAGAATTTCAGGACCAGTGTTGTCACCTTTGTGTTTACTTTTTTTTTTCAGACGTTCAGTTCTGCAATCATTTCTTCCTTTATTTTCAAACTCTTCCTTATGTGCCCTCCCCCTCCCCCCCCCCTTTTTTTTCCACATACACAACACGGTCCATGGCACGGTCCCATGAGTCCCACCTCTATAGCTGTATCATTCATGTCCTGCTTCCACACATTTGTATATCGTAGTAGAGGTCGGCCTCGACATCTTCTACCCGTCTTTAATTCATCATAGAGGATGTTCTTAGGGACTCTGCCATTCTCCATTCTCGAGGTGTGACCTAGCCACCTGAGCCTCCATAGAGTCAGGTTACTGCTTTAGTTAGTCTTGATCAAATAACTGTTGTGGTGTAACGGCTAGACGTTCGCCTGCGGATCTGAAAGTTGTTGGTTGAAATCCGAATGACTTTTTTTTTCAAAAACGATCAGGTCGACAATGCCTCAAGTGGTTGAAGTCCTGGAAAGTAAAAGCGGCCTACGTGATGTTGACATCAACCCCTGAATGCCGTAAGACATTTGCCAGATTTATTTTAAGGGAGGGGCGCTAAATTTTTTAGGGGCTCTCAAGGGGCCTTAACCCCTAGATTCTGGCGCCTTTAACATATTACAATGTATAGAATGAAACGAATAATGCGAGCTATATGCCAGTTATAAATGACACAACAGGGTGATGATACTGATGAGATGATAATGAGGAAGATGAGAAGACTCTCCCAGTCAAACGATCATTGTTTGAATAGCGCTATGTCCATTGTTCCGTTTGTATAGCCTGCAACAATCAGCAGGAACGGTGATTTGGTGATCGTAGTTTTTATGGCCTAAGCTTCCAGTTAGGCTAAGCCTAAATCATAAAATAAATCTATGATGATTCATCGATTTGATAATAATAATAACATAACCAAAGTTCACAAATATTGAGTAAGCTGTGTGTCTGTTGCGTTTGAAATTTAAAACATTGAGATCCTTGCAGGCCAGAGTGAGTGACCAGGTAATGTGACCAACGCTAACTTAGTTAAGTTGGCTAGTCTAGTCAGAGAACTAGTGTAGGTAGAAGTAGATAACATCAAAATCTGGAAATAAGGTATATTTGACCCTAAAAGTACAACATCTGTTAGAAATCAAAACTGTCTCATAACACAATCACAATATATAAAACCCTACGACCAGTTCCCAGGGTAGTGTCTAGGATCACAAAGTGTTTCCTAAAACACTAGCATGACCTGAAGAAAATATCCAAAGGATGCTATCTACCTGGTACCTCTGAAGGAATGCTTGCCACTCTGCATGAAGCATGCTTGTCATTACCTTTCTCAACATGCTGTGTGAGTCGGTTACAATCACGGCATGTGTGTACAGCTGATTCTCAAGCCAGCGGAAGGCAGCAGAAACTGCCTCCACAGAAGACAGAAGAAGAAAACAAACCAGAAGATGAAGAAAAAGAGGAATAAAAAGGAGGAGGAATGCTAACTCCAGTCAGTCGAATGTGCTGATGTAAATGTTTTTTTAATTATCCATTTGTATTTGACAGACTGGGAGTCTCAGTGGCGTAGCGGTTAGACGCTCGCGTGCGGATCGGAAGGTCGTGGGTTTGCTCCCTGGCGGAGCCTGACTTTTAAAAAAAAATTACCTTGACTCCCAGGTCGACCCAGCCTTGAGTGGGTACCGGGTGCAGTCCCGGGAAGTAAAGTTGGCTGGCGTGATGCTGACCACATCACCTATCTTGTGCCAATTGGTCTATAAAAATATGTCTACCCCATATTTGCCCTATACGCCTAAAGGTGCGGAAAAGGGACCTTAACTTTACCAACTTATTTGACAGACTCCTTTTTGTTTGTTATTGTAGGAAAAAGATGACTAATCAGTTTGGGACCGGTAAAAATCCACCATGGGCCAGACAAGGCAAGTCGTCTTTGTTCTGTGATGTCTGTTTTGTCTGCGGGT